ACTAAATGGCTTATATAGATTCATTTATTTAATTCCCTCAAGAAATTTTACCACTCAGTTGAAGAAACTGGGGATTTCAGACATTGAATAATTTACCCAAATCACAGATTTAAAAAGCAAAAGAGAAGGGATTTGATTAAAGGTTATTGGGACTGTAATCTATTCATGTTATACATTTATTTTCTTATAAAAGTCTCAGGGATTTTCACTGCCATTCTAAGTGTAAATAAACAGTATAATAATAAAATAACTCCTTATACTTACTTAGTATGCAATACACAAATAGCACACTAGATGGCAACAGAAGGCAAGGAACTAAAAAATAAACGTCTTTCCCACTTAATAAAAGTAGTTGGCTTTAAAATTAAAGTATCTATGTCCTCTTCTGTTTTAATACTCTCAGAAGGCAAAATTCATATGTTCTAATACACCTTCTAGGTATTAGAACATATGAATTTCTTCTAGGTAAAAACTTCTAGACCCACATTACATTTTAGAAATTGCTTAGTAATCAATCTGTATTCATTATTACTAATTCAGTGAAAATGTTAGATTCATAACACATAATGCCTTCTTAATTATTAAATTTTGTAAGAAACACTAATGATAAAACTTCACATTAATATTTAGGACTAATTACTGACTTCAACAAATGTTAATTGTGCAACTAATATGAGGAATACAAGTAAGGATACAATGATAAAATGTATGAAATATGATATGTCAAGAGCTTTGTAATGTTTTGAACAACTGATAATAAAAAAGAAAAAAAGCAAATATCAAAAAAAAGTATACAATGATAAACATTACAGACCTGATTTTCATGGTCTTGGTGGAGCAAGATATGTAAAAATCCACCAACACTTTATAAAACGTCAGTGGGAAAATAGACGAGGAAGAGATTAATCCAAATTAAGAAGAAGCTGGAGAAAACTTCTGGGAAAGCTGCCACCTGAGTTGAACTTCATCTGTTGAACAGACATTTCACAGATGAACACAGGGTAGAAGAGCATTAACATAAGCAAATTCGTGAAAATGTTCATTCATAGTTCATATTCTGAAAAAAGTGTAGCTTATATGAAAGACTGCAGTGAAAGATAAGCCTAGAAAAGCTGGAGCAGGCCCAGACCATGAAAAATCTAGAAGGTCATGCTAAAGAATTATCTTTAATTCTACTGTAACAGGGGAAAAGGCTGAACAGAGAGATCAACAATTCAGGAAGCTTAATAGAGCCATCTGAAAGACACACTGAACCTGGAAGAAACCTGAGAGAAAGCAACTATTGCAACAGCCTGTAAATAGGGGACTCAAGAGAGATAAAGCTTGGCAAATGATTGGATATAAAGAATAAGTGACTGGGCTGGCACAGTGATACATGACTGTAATTCCAGAAACTCAGGAGACCGAGGCAGGCCATTGCAAGTTTGAGGCCAGCCTCAACAATTGCCAGATCCTGTCTTGAAAAATAAAAAGGGGTTGGGAATGTAGCTCAGTAGTAGAACATTACTGGATTCAATCGCCATTTAACATAAACAAACAAAAAAGTTCATGATGAGGAAGAGCCAAACATTTTAAAGAATCTAACATAGAGCTGTTGGTAAGACAATTATGTGATTTTGGAAAAAAAAATACAGAGAATAGTAGAAGGAAAAGAATTAGTAGATGGGAAGATGGAAGGAAAGAATTAATAACTTGGTTGTATAGTAGATGCCAATGGAATATCATCCATATAAAGAGGTCTAGTAGAAGCAAGAAGTATAGGTCTGGGGCTCAAGAGAGCAGGTAGTGCTAAAAACACAATGTGGGGGTGGTTCAAATCAAGATAAATTTTGACCATGAGAGGAGATACAAATCCCAGGAAATCAGGAAAACATGGAAGGAGGGATAGAAATTAGTTCTGAATAATGTCTACATTTAGCTGTTTTGCAGTTTTTGCTCACTGACCATGCCTAACCCATAGAAGTCCACTCTGCCCTGAGGAAGGACTCCAAGAAGAAGGTATAATCCACAGAACGACTGTAAGAAGCACAAGCCCGGTAGCCAGAAGAGCTACTCCACGTACGTGTACAAGGTGCAGAAGCAGGTGCAAACCGACACAGGCATCTCTTCTGAAAGCCATGGGCATCATGAACTCTCTAGTCAATGACATCTTTGAGCGCATTGTGGGAGAGCCAATGTACCTGAAATGCTACAAGTGCTCCACCATCACGTTGAGGAAAGAAGATCCAAAAGGTCCTGGGCCTCGAGCTACATGGGTTGCTGGCCAAGCACACGGTGTTGGAGGGCACTAAGGCTGTCACCAAATGCGCCAGTGCCAAGTGAACATGCCATGTAAGAGTCTTTAACCCCAAAGACTCTTTTAAGAGACACTTAAAAAAAAGTCTACATTTAGGGGTTATAGAACACAATTTAAACTAGATTCAAAAAGAGTAGGTAAGAGCCATACAAGGAGAATTCATGAGAATGAAATATTAGATAAATCAAAGGAAAGAGATTATGTCATGATAGGACAATTAATGGCTTCCAAAACTTCAAGGTCTATGTAGCATGAGGATTGAGATGAAGTCACTGGATTTGATAATCAGGAAGTCACTAGTGATCATTAAGTGAGTAGTTCAGTAGTATAAAATTACACTACAGTTTGTTGAAAGCCTGACTACAATGTGATGAGAAATAAAAGGAAAGATACTAGGAAAGACAACTTTTTGGAAAACTCTGCCAGTAAAATGATGAACTGGGGGTATGAAATTAAGTATATACTGATCATGTGAAGCCTGAATTTTGGAGAATGACAGCTGTATATAGAATGGGGTGGGGGAACAGTGGTGAGAGAGAGAAGAGGGATGCAAGTAAGATATAACTGATGACCAGTAGGTCAAAGACCCATTAGAAACCCCAGAAATAAGAGACATCAAAAACTTAGAAAAAGAGATTCATCTTAGGAAATAGAGGGCTGGTAAAGAAAAAAAAAATTTTAAAAGAGTAGAAGAGACATTTGAGGGATCAGAAAACAAACAGTGGCTCTTGACTATTGTCCTTAACCTCAATAAAGGACAAAGGGGGTTGGTGTTGTTCCTGTTGTACATGTTAACAGCATAAATGTTGAAAGCTATAAGTATGATGAAAAAAGGATGGAGGAGGAAAGGGTCAGATGCTAAAGATTTTTAAAAGTGCCTAGAGTGTCTTCTTGGTTGAGAGTTTCTATTGATTATGATAAGGGAGAAGAGAGACAACATGACAACACTGATTTCCTTTTTGTTTTTTGAAATAAAGGCCTTGCTATGTTGCACAGGCTGGCCTCAAGCTTCCAATCCTCCTGCCTCAGCCTCCCAAGTTGCAGGAATTACAGGCCTGCATCACTGGGTCCAGCAAAAATGCTGATTTCAAAGAAGAATAGTAACCTAGTTTCAAAAAAAAAAATGATCATCCAAGCAGATTTCAAAACAAAGGCCTGCACATGGCAGTAAGAAATGAGGAAAATAAGGGCTAACGCATCCATCAGAGTCACAGGAGATAAAATGAAAGACAAAAGGACCTTCAGTGGAGATTTTAAGGATTATGACTGAGCTCTGAGGAAATGAAGAAATGAGTGCTAGAGGAAACAAAATATGTGAGAGATTTGAATCTGAGTTTCAAAGGCAGAGGAGAAGCATTAGTGCAGAAATTAGCAGTGAATGTGGGTCAATTGAATATCTCTGTGTGTGTGTGTGTGTGTGTGTGTGTGTGTGTGTGTGTGTGTATTTTTGTCTAGCGGGGTACTAGGAATTGAACTCAGGGCCTCACACATACAAGGCAAATACTCTACCATTGAACTTCACTCCCAGCCCTTTTTATTTTTTTTAAGACAGGGTCTCACTAAGTTGCCCAGCTAGTCTCAAAGTTGTGCTCATTCTGCTTCAATCTCCCAAGTAGCTAGGATTACAGGTGTTAGCTCTGACATTTTAATAAAACATTAACATTACCACATGTTGAGAATCCCTTACCCAAAATGCCTGGCCAGAAGAGTTTCAGATTCTGGGTGAACATATGAATCTAAAAACCTCAAATTCAAAATTAAAGACTTTTTTGAGCAACATTGCTAAGTACTTTAAAAAAAAAAAAAGAATCAGATTTCAGAGCATTTCAGATTAGGGATGCTCAATCTGTCCATGGTTTAGACCAATGCTATCCAATGCAACCCCCGCCACCAACCCTGCCACCTCCATGCCCCTGGTGCTGGGGATAGAATCCAGGGCCTCACACATACTAGGCAAGCACTCTGTCACTCTAGACTCCTAGAACAAGTTTTGGTGATAGTGAAAGTGTTCTGTATCTGCACTGTCCACTACCGGTAATCAATGGATATATGTGGCTATTAAGCACTTGAAGGATGGCTTGTGTGTATAGAGAAAATACACAGTAACTTTAATGGAGTAAGGTGTGGCCCCCAAATACAACAATAAAACAACGGTAACTTCCTATTATTTAAAGTTCATAGATATGAATACTGTCTGATCACTAAGTGTTTAGTACCATCACTATCATTATTTTAAAATATGTTTAATTTAGCTGACAATGGATTCTAACTCATAGCTAATGATGGAACAAAATATTATTATCTACATATATTATTATCTGTGCCCTATTTATGTTATAAATTTTTCCACGTCTAGAGGAAAAATGTGTCTTTAACCATATGTGAACATATAAAAATGAGTGATTATAGGTGTTAAGATTTCCACAGTATTGAAAACTATCAGCAAATAAAAAGTTAAGCATACAAGTCTCTCAAAATATGTCACCATATTGCATTACAATCTCTGAATAATGATATAACAAAATCATTTGCAGAGGAAAAAAGAATCCTTCAAATACCAAACCTGTTTAATTTAGAAAAGTCAACATTAAAACAGTTTCACTTTGTGTTTGGAAAAAGTTTAGTTACAAAAGAATAACCAAAGAAATAGGAAAAAAAAAGGAGTAATTCTGCATTGCCTTTATTTTCATCTTATTAGACTTGCCTTGGTCTTTTCAAAATTGGCTTCTTCAGTCATATGCACAGCTTGTTTAACTTGTTCATAGGCACTTGTTTCTCTTTGCTGCATATCTCCCAAGCTGTTCCTTACAGAAACTAGTGCAGACATTAAGTCATCTCTTTCTCTGTTAACACAGAAAGAACAAGCAAAACAAGAAATGATCAAACTAGCATGTACTCCTAAGTCAGGAGGGAAAAAAGCATTAGTATGTATTAGACAAAGAGCCAGGGAGGGCCAGCTCAACACACTGAAGCACACCCCAGAGAACTGTTCGCCCTGTGTCCTCACTTGGCGAGTGGCTGGCAGAGCAACCAGAGGGGCAGAGAGTATTTAAGGCAAGGCTACATCTGTGTAATACAATAATCTATTGTGGAAAGGCTGGAACACTGAGGATTGCCCCCAAAAGAGCAAATTAGTAAGGAAAATGTTGTAGAGCTAGAAAAAACAAACAAACAAACAAACAAAAAAAAACAAACCCACACACAGTGGGATATTTTAGATATTGTATCTCAAAATAGGAATAAATGTTTTTAAGAAGGGACTAAGTGTAAAAGATTTATGTCATAAGGTTTCTCTAAACAAATAAATAAATAAATGTAAAAAAAAAAAAACTAAGCCTGTTTTGTCACTAATTCTTCTCATTCACTGGAACAACAACAAAAAATGTTCTTTCCTTTTCATCTTCCTCCCCAATCTTCCTGTTTACCCTTTATTTCAATAAAATTCATTCACCTATTAACACATTATTTCAGTGGTAGTACAGTGGAAAACTCTCAACCCCCCTGGTCATATACATAACACAATTTAACAAAACCATCTCACTGGGGTTGATAATGGCCACACCTACCTCTTCCTCAGCAATTCTCAGAAGTCTCCTGGGCAAAGCTGTTTCTTGAGGATAGAAGTGAACAGAATGTGAAAATGCTTTGGCATAGAATATAATAAGGATGAGATCTCATTGGTTAAATAAATCCCATATCAAATATAAGGATATTTGGGACTTATGGAATGAATAAAAATGCCCATAAGACCAAAGACAGAGACAAAGTGAGGTTGGAAACTTTCTACATACACACACAAAAAAAAAAAAGAAAGAAAGAAAGAAAGAAGGAAAGAAAGAAAAGGATGTTGGACTGTCATATACATGCAGTTTTATGCTTTATTAAAGAATTCAAATTTTAAACTGTGTTTTCAAATTCAGTTGAAATGCTTACAGTTTCCTTTTTTTTTCCTGGTTGTATGCATAGTATATTACACCAATTGGTGTCTTCATACATGTACTTTGGGTAGTAATGATCATCACATTCCACCATCATTAATTACCTCATGCCCCCTCCCTTCCCCTCCAAATCTTCTGCCCTATCTAGAGTTCATCTATTCCTCCCATGTTCCCTGTCCCTACCCCAATATGAGTCAGCCTCCTTATATCAGAGAAAACATTTGACATTTGTTTTTTTTGGGGGATTGGCTAACTTCACTTAGCATTATCTTATCCAACGCCATCCATATACCTGCAAATGCCATGATTTTCTTCTATTTTATTGCTGAGTAATATTACATTGTGTATATATGCCACATTTTTTTATCCATTCATCTACTGAAGGGCATCTAGGTTGGTTCCATAGTTTAGCTTTTGTGAATTGTGCTGCTATAAACATTGAGGTAGCTGTGACCCTATAGTATGCTGTTTTTAAGTCCTTTGGGTATAGACCAAGGAAAGAGGAAACTGAGTCAAATGCAGTTTCCTTTTTATTGCCAAGTTCTGAGAAAGGAACTGTGATTTTTTTTTAATTAAGCAAACTTTAAGAGTCATAGAAGATTATAAATGCTGAGTTTGAACTGCTTCTGAATTAACCAATATCTCCATTTAAAAAAATCTTTTTAAGATAAGATAATTTTAACTATTTGTGTTATTTAGAAAGCAGACATTTTAAAAACATTTTATTGAACAAAGAATTATTAGCTGTTTCATAAAGATCTTTTTGTTAAAAATAATAAATTTCTATAAATATAACATTCATGGGAACAAGATGATCTTCACTTTAGAATTTCTTGATTTATTTGCTTTACAGTGATAAAAGTGATTTTAATTTTTTATCCTAAAGGAAATTTAAAAAGCAGTAATTGTTTTGATTAAATATAATCAAGTACAATAATTACATGAAAAAATGCAAGAATCAAAACAAGATTAAACTTTTCCATTATAAGTAAAAAAATCAATACAAATCAAACAAAATTGATTTTGTTATTTCTATTTAAAAATTCATATAACAAAATGGAATTAGGTTCTTTGTGGATATGTAATCTAGTAAGACTTATGATTCTAGAAGAATATAAAGATTTATTCTTTAAGGATAGGAAGTCAATATAAACATCAGTCACCTGTCTTAAATTTTAAAATCTACTGAAAAAAAAAAGTTATTCTTCAGTGATCTTATCTGTTCCTTATAACATGTCATCGTCAAAGGAAAAGTTCCAAATCATAAGAATGGATTAAAAAACCCCTCAGTGTTATAAGTGTGCTAACAGATCACAACAGGTCAAAATCTAACAGACTTGCTTCTTATGGGAGACATATTTAATCTACTTAATTTCTTTTTAGGATAACCTTTTGTTATGAATAGTATTTATTACACAATAGATGCTCAACAAAATAAATGATAAAAGAATAAATGAATGAATAAATGCTATAGGATGGCATCAAAACAGGTGAATTAAAGTTACTTCCCTGTTCTATTATTCTTGATGTAAATTGAAAAAGTTATCTGACTATTTACAATCAGAAAGTAAACAGTTTAATTTACTAAACTAATTCAAAACATTCTGATTTACAAATATTTCAGAATATAAATTCACTAACTTTAGACAACTGAACCACTGAAAATCATTAGATAGACCCCAAAATACAGTTGTCTTGTTGAACTCATCATGCAACAGACTTCAAAATAATCATACTAAACATTTGTGCAACCACTGGACTGACCACTTCAATTTTCTGTAAAAACAAATGCACCATCTGCTTTAAGGTGACCCTAAGATCATCTGGGAAGCTTGCAGGGAGTTGTTTTGGCAATTTTAAGATTATCCACTTAATCACTACATTTTTGCTTTGGCTTTGTTTTAATTAGGCCAGCCTCCATATACCAAAAAAAAGCAAAGCTCTGGGCTGGCTGTGCCCTCTCATCAATACTAGGCCTTGATTCCTGCTCCATTCCTATGTTTATCTGACTGTAGCCCTTCTGATTGATCTACCATTTTTCAGCCCCACACTTATTCCTTGGATCTAACAGTGCTATTAGTTATCTTACTCTTTGAAGACGGGCAACTGCAGCTAGCCAGAGTAACTATCCATCAGTTGCAGTCCTTTCCAAAACCCCAAGTCCATAGGGCCAGCCTGGGGCCAGGCATGAGAGAAGCTTTCACAATGGGAAGTAGTATAGATACATATGCTATATTCACATGAGTGTGAGAGGGAAGAATCTCCAAATTACCATCCTCCCATGCAAAAGTTTAGTGAGTGCTTAAAAACATCAGGTAACTGTTTTGATTTATATGATTAAGGAGTATCTCAAAGCAAGCAACACAGAGTTAACTTTTCAACATTCCATGACCCTGATGAAAGGCAGCTGAGGCAGAAAAATTATGTAAAGAGCATGAATGTCAGTTCTGGGATTGAAAAAGCATGTAGTTGTTCATACTAACAAGCATGTAATATTTAAGGAACTTAGTGCAAAAAATCAGAACAGAGTAAAACTGAGAAAAATCTCTTAGTAATCTCAGCCAAGTTTTTAAAATAAGCAAAGAAGATAGTTGATCTGATATATATATATGTTTCATCTTGTGTATATATCCTAAGAAATGTCTTATAATTGTTAAACTATTTCACAGTTATCAATTTTATCATTATTACTTGTATTTTAAAAAAAGAAAGTCTAGAAGGCTGACTATGACATTTTTGGTTCCTTATTTCTGGGAAGTTCCTGTTGTAGCTTCTCAAAGCCAACTGTTCAGAATACTGCCAGTGATCCTCTCCAAAATCACAAGCTGAACTAAAGTCCTAGGATACTACTATGGTAATCATTCCTCCTTTTTCGAAAGAAAAAAAAAAAAAGTACACTGAAACTTGGAGAAGTGACCTAAAGAAAGGACTTTAATATAAAGCAGTTTCATCTTGATTACCATTTAAAGTATTTTGATTCTTTTCTGGGGGTGGGAGGGAGTAGGTACAGTAGTTCATGCCTACAATCCCTGTGACTTGGGAGGCTGAGACAGGAGAATTGCAAGTGCAAGGCCAGCTTCAGCAATGTAGTGAGGCCCTCAGCAACTTAGTGAGACCCTGTCTTAAAATTAAAAAATAAAAAGGCTGGGGATGTAGCTTAGTTGTAAAGCTCCCCTGGGTTCAATCCTAATACCAAAAAATAAAAATAAAAAATAAAGAAAAAGAGTTTTGTTTACTGTTACTTTTACCTGATGACAAGTCAGTTCAGAAACATTACAAAGACTTCAAATCAACTTTAAAAATGTTTCCAATGTTAACAGTTGTTAAGCGTACTCTCCAAAAAGTCCCTGAGGTCCTAACAAAATATCACAAATATATAGATGGTCTGATCTCCAAATTGTGCCTCATACTCTCCTTGATAACTGCATAAGTATTAATTCATTCTTTTTTTTGGGGGGGGGTCAGTGCTGTGAATTGAACCCAGTGCCTGGTGCATGCTAAGTGTATGCTTTACCAGTGAGCAACAACTCCAGCTCACAAGTAATTCTTCTGTCATATATTCAAAACATGCTAAACAATGAAACATGGTTGTTTAAAAATGGTGTCACAATAGCACATTTCCAAACGGGGTCAACAAACTTTTCCAGTTTAACATATTTAAGTAATAATTTTTAAAAATTCCATGTGAAAACCATACAGGAAATACTACTACATCAGATTATTAAGAGTTCAGGCTTTTAACCATTTAAAACTAGAAATCCAAACTTTAAGTCTTGGTCATGCTACAAAACCAGCATGTGGTAAACATTCTGCATTAATAAGTTAGAAGAAGCTGAAAGCCAGCTCATATTTAGGGAATCATACAGATCAAAATTTTCATTGACAATAAAAGCAGAAACTTTTCACTCTATTCTGTTACTAAAGCACAACATAAGTCAATAATATGCTGACAAAGCAGAAAATTGAACTAAGTAGGTTAATATTTACTTTAAGAGGCTGAGATCAAATTTAGGATAGAGACAAAGGAATACATAACTTAGCAAGAATCTAATTTCTAAATGACTGCCAGACTTAGAATCAATGTAACATTGCAGCTTCCTTTTGAAATATTCTTCTCATGACCCAGAAGGATAATATGAAAGGAAATATAATAAGGGGGGAAATTCCTATATTTTATTTGTTGGATTTGCTAAATTAGTTTTAACCTTTGCCTCTTTTTATCTGCAAAATATAGAACATTCTTTTTCCTTTTTTGGCAGGGGGTACTCAACCATTAAGCCATATCCCCAGTCCTATTTTGTATTTTATTAGAGAAAAGGTCTTATTGACTTGCTTAGGACCTCACCATTGCTGAGAATGGCTTTGAACTTAAGATTCTCCTGCCTCAGCCTCCCAAGCCACTGGGATTATAGGTGTGTGTGCCACCATGTCTGGTGGTTTGTTCCTTTTAAAAAGTTTTTAATCAGTATAGTCTCCCTGCAAAATTTGTTATCCATATGGTAAAAAATCTATGTGACACAAGTTTTCAATACCATTTCCTTTTTCCACCTCTCCAGAAGCAATCACTGTTGAATATTTGGTGTTTAATCTTTCAAATCTTTTATTATTAATATATAAGAGCCTAGAAAAAATAGAATAATGGTTGTGTATGAAATCTAGAAAATACAGATTCATACTGGTTTCATACTGGTTTATCTTTAGTTATTTTGTTTTGCTTTAATAATATATGTTGGAATTAGTTCCACATTAGTATACATAGATCTACATTAATTCATTTTTATACTGTTCATCCAAATCATAGTTTAATTAGTATCTCTCTTTCTTTCTCTCTTGTATTTAGTCTCCTTTGAAGATACTTAGATTGTTCACTCTATTATAAACAGTGCTGCAAAACATATTTCCTGTAAGTGCCACATTATATATATGTGCTTTTTCTCTAAGGTAGATTTTAAAAAGTGTCATGCATAATTTAAATATTAATGGTAGTGCTAAATTGCCCTCTAAAGTAGTTATACCAACTTATAGTTCCATCAGCAAGAAAGAAAATTATTTATGAGCATTACCACCTCTTGGGATTATCAATCTTCTTTAATTTTTTCCTGATGGGTTAGTTGTTTCCTTAGATTTGATTTCCTTGAATACAAACAGAATGAACATCTTCTCATGTATTGACATCTTTCTCTTCTATTGCTTACCAATTACTTTACTCACATTCAACTGGGCAGTTTTTTGTTTTTGTTTGTTTTGAAGCAAATTCTTTACTGTACTACTCTTTTGATTAAAAATGGCAAACGTTTTTTGAGCATTTTAACTAATTTTAAATACTTTATCATAAGGGAAATTATTCTTTAATGAAATCAAATGTGTCATTTTTTAATGACTTCCACTTTTCATGTTATACTTAGCACTGTAACAAGCCCAAGGCCATTAAGATACTTTTCCATATTTACTTTTAATACTTTAAAACTCTGAATTATATTTGTCTTTTTAAACTATCCCAAATTTTGTAAGGTCATGTTCTATTCTATCTTTTTTTCCCCCAAATATAAACAGACAAAATTTTACTTTCTTTTGAGTTTCACTTTACATAGGTATAAAATAGTGGTAATCCTAACTATCTCACAAAATTTCTTATTAAGATTAGAAGTCTTGGGCTGTGGCTCAGTGATAGAATGCTTGATTAGCACATGTGAGGCACTAGGCTTATTTCTCAGCACCACACACAAAGGAAAGAAAAAAAATAAAAATGTGTCCATCTACAACTGAAATAATTTTAAAAAAGATTAGAAAAAATTATTTTTCTAAATTGCCTGGTACAGCCTTGCAAATAATAAATGTTCACCACTTGTTAGTTGGATATAAAAGTAAATTTAATATATGTAATTTGATATTTATATTGAATATATATGAACTCATATATATTCATATAGTGTATATGAATACTTATATTGAATATATAAATAATTAATAACATGTTTAACTATATAATATTTAAAAACAACAACAAAAACCCAGAACCATTGAGTAGATCACAAAAGCTATCATTCAGTCCATATTGGAGGTTCAGTTTTTATATAATAATTAGTAGGTTAGTCATGTGTAGAAACCACAGCTACCAGGTATATTGAATGTCCTTGGAGGTACAAAGTGATTTCAGTATTTACTGAATATTTACTATAAGTTGGGAAGTGTTTTAAGCACCATACAGTTAACCAATTCTCAATTACCCTTCAAAATGCCCTATGTGTTAGGTAATTTTACCACCATTTTTAAAATGAAGGAATTGAGGCACAAAGAGGTTGAGTAATTTTAGTGAAAGTACATAGTAATTCAGTGATAGAACTAGCATATGAACCCAGGCAGTCTGTTTCAAAAGCCTGTACTTGGTCAGAAGGCTAAGGTGACTCAGTAAAATACCAAGAGTAAGTATTATATCTCCAAGCAGCGGAAGATTCCAAATTCAGAGAACTAGTTGTCTAAAGGTCAAGACATACAGCAAGATCAGTCTCACTTTAATGATCATAGTCATTCCACTCTTCCACTCCAATTGCAACTGAAGTAACTTTGACAGCTAAACAATAAATGCCTTGCCACATGAACAGCAAACACTAAATGTCTACCATAGGCCCAAATACCAGGAAACTTTATTGACCTATAGCAAGTACTTAAAAAATACTGAAGCCCCTCTGTACCTTCCAGACTCTAAGAACATTCAATATATCTGGTAGCTGATGTCTAACCTGCTGATTGCTGCCTCCAAGTATATGCAATATAAATCACAGAATAAAGTAATTTAAGATGGCTGAGGACAAAAATGGAACAGGGCTAGTGAAAGAATACTTCTAAAAGGAAGTGAAGATTGAGCATAGCAGACAGAGAGAAGCATCTTTGAAAATAGAAAAAGCAAGGAGCATGGGAAAACCCACACTTCAAAACCAATATTGAATTCTATGATAAATAATAATTTTCAACTTCTAATGAATAAAATCTTCACAGGAAATGGCTTCCTTTGTAAAAGTGAACATGGAATAAAGGAGATGCACACAGAGAATGATATTTCAGCCTCACTGCAAACTTTTACAACATTAAACTCATTTGTAATTTGTCCTTAGTCAATACTCAAATATTAATACTATAATATATTGGGTCCTTCTCCCACTATACTCATAATATTCTTCATAACAGGCACATGAGGAACATGTAGTAGTAACTCATTGTACCTAAACTATACTGGGGGAATCCAAGTATAGTTTAAAATAAAATAAAGGAATTCCTATAATACTTGGTTTTGCTAAGAATAGTGATGGGTTTGTTTATTATAGAGTCACAGAACTGGACAGAATTGTAAATATTAACTAGTTCCATTCAAGATGATACCAAAATCAAAAGATTAAATAGTTTTTTCAAAATGACATGGTTACTCACAGTTGGCAGAACTTCCCATTCTTTCTTTAAGGAAGCTACATTGAAGGAATCTTTTAAAATCTGCTGTATTTGAGGCTTAATACTAACCACATGTGATTTATTTAGCATGGAGATAAAAGAACACATAATTTTCTATGTTGCCAAAGACTTTGGACATATAAGCATACTTACTTAGAAAGTCTTTCGATGGTTTGGATATGTACGTTATTATGAGTTTGGGAAAGAACAGCTTCATGCTGAGCACACTTCAAACAAAGGCCTCCAACATGGCTGGAAATATTAGCAGCAAGAAGAGACTCTTTATGTTTTAATCGCTCTCTAAGATCTTCACAGTTTTTCTGATATTCAGCTAAGTCTTTCCTAAAAACAAGGGGAAAAAATTCTAGGAAATATCCTGGAAGAAGTATTCTACATTCAAGTCAGTCATTATGAATTACTACCATCATTATGGGTGTTTACCTTACAACTTTGCTTCACAACCTTGAAACGTAGATCTGATTATCCTGATGCAGTGATTATTAGACTTGAATATATTAAGTAGCTCAAGTTCTTGTAAGATTTTAATACAGTTTAGAGTTTACCCTTTAATAGAATTTTACCTCCATTAACATATTACCTACAAAACAAAAATAAAACTCCAAATATAAACCCTAAATAGTCTCCCTTAATAAAAGGTGGAATGACATGATACAATATCCTTGAAGTAAGGGAAATACCCTATTTTGGGAGTTAGGTTCATAAAATTTATAGAGAATACCTCAAAAGTTCAACAAAGAATATGGATTTTATCCATGACTAACTTATTATTTATTATTTCCTCTTTAGGAGGAAAAAATAAAAGATTATCTAATCACAAAGTTCTTCAAAGAGTTGTTTCAAAAGAAAGTGGGCCACAGAAAGAAATTACAGAGAACTTGCCAGTCAAGAATTCAAAAGTAGTAGCTATTAGCTAGAAATATGCAGCTTGCTAAAGAAAGAGCTAGAGAATTGTGTGTGTGTGTGTGTGTGTGTGTGTGTGTGAGAGAGAGAGAGAGAGAGAGAGAGAGAGAGAGAGAGAGAGAGATTTTTGTTTGCTTTTACTTTAAGCACTCACCCCTAAAAGAAGTTTTTCTTTAAATTGATATTTTAAGAATTAAGTGACTAGTACATGGGTTGCATTTCCCCAATTTCTTCTTCATCTCTAGTAAAGCTTTGGTAGGTCAACTGAGAAACTGAGCCTCATTGTCCAGAAGTCCTTTTCCATGTATATATGGAAAAGATGTATACACACACATACATATGGGTCTCATTATATTGCCTAGGCTACCCCCAAATTTGCAATCCTCCTGCCTTAGACTCCCAAATTACAGGATTGTGTCATCCTACCATATATTTTTTAAAAGCCAACTACCAAGCTTACAAAGGAGACAATGTTATAAATTCTTGGACTTCTGAAGGTATACACTCAGTCTACTACTGTGTCCTGCTCAGTCCTGGACTACCAAAGGTATACACTCAATCTCCTGCTCAGTCTACTCCCTGTTGTTGGCGTTTCTATGCTTGGGGACTATAACTATTTTAACTTGCTCAATGTTATGGTTTGGACCTGGAATGTTTCCCAAAGGTTAATGTGTTGAAGGTTTGGTCCCCAGTATAGCAACTGTGGGGCTTTTGGGAAGCAACTGGGTTATGAGGGATTGATTTTATCAATGGATTAATCCATCGATCAGTTCATAGCTAATGGCATTTTGGGGAGGTGGGGGAAACTGTAGGAGGTGAGGTCCAGTTGAAGGAAGCAGGTCACTGAGGTCATGCCCTGGAAGGGTATATCACGGTTCTAACCTTTTCCTCTTTCTGTATCTCTCTCTCTTTCTCTCTCAGTCTCTATTGCCATTATGTGCGGCTCTGCCATACCCTTCCACCATCATATTCTGCCTGGCCTTAGGCCTAAAGCAATGGAGCCAGCAGACCTTCAACTTAAACCTCTAAAACTGTGAGCCAAAATATATCTTTCTGGCTTTTAAGTTTCATATTGGGTGGTTTAATCATCGCAATCAAAAGCTGACTAGTACACTCACTGTTGCAGAGGAAACGCCAACAACCATTCCTCCCGGCTGAAATATACGTCTTCAACTCTTGAGATTTGGGGACTCTCAAGCAGCCCAAAGGAGGTGGAGTAATTTTTAGAATGTCTAAGGATTAAACAAAAAGTTAATCTAATGGTGGTTTAAAATTTGCAGGGGGGAAATAAAGGAGCTGTGTATGCCCTCTCTCCAATATAGCATTTCTAACATAATGTTTCGTTTTAAGTATTGCATAAAGAAAGTCTGAATTTCAAAGGCTTTATAAAAAGAATTTTGGAAGCACATTCCAAAGTCAAGGGGTCCTATTACTAACTTTTGTCTGGGTTAAGACTAAAAACACTCAAGTAGATTTGGTTACTGGGAATGGCAAAAGAGAATATTTAAAAGGAATTTCTGAATAGTGATTTTATTTCTTTGTTTCAGAAAAATGCCTCTTTGAATAATCTTAAATTAGGTTACAAAAAAGTTAAGAAACAGAAGAATGCAGAGAATAAAGTCTAACTCAGTGCAAGCTGGTATGCTAATGTAATTAAAGATGACATAGTTGAATTCTGAGTGAGACTAAATAAGTCACATTCTCATTAGTTTAATATCTAGTAACATATCACTTCAAAAATTGAAGAATTAAATTATGATGGAAATCAAAAGACAACAAAGTAAGATAAAAAGCAGGAAAGCAAGTATTAGACTATTTTTTAAATGTTAGGGCTCTTTGTGAAAAAGTAAAAATCTCCATAGAAATCCTAAAACTTAAGAGTACATTAAAAATAAGTAATAGCATGTACAGTGAAAGCCATTAGTTCTGGTTCTTTGCATTGCTCTAGGTAAGTCTAGTTGGTACATGAACTAGAAAATTTTCCAACTTATTTCAAGTTGTACTTAGTAAAATAAAATTATAAAAATATTTTTAAATTCACTTGATTTGAAAACATGTATTACCACAATTTCAAGTGATCTTTTATCAAAAATTAATTGCTGATGATATCTTTTTCTACTTATTCATAAATCAGTAATGGTTAAACTATTAGTCAAAGTTTTAAAGGGATCTATAACAAAGAATTATAAAAAGTAGATGAACATGCATCAAATATACTTAAATTCATCATGCATACAAATATTCAAATTATTATATTATTGTTACAATTTTAAATTACATAAAGTTGATCTACAGAGAAAAAATTACTTGCTTATAATTTTAATGCTTGAGTGTTTTATTTTCACTATTTAACTATAAAAGCACAATTTATAAGAACAACTAGTAATCCTTATTTCTATAAGAAAACACAAATATGTTACAACTGATGAAGACGTATATATGTATAATTTAGCACACAGAAATGTTGTTTGAAAAAGGATTCACAATTTTATGCCTTTTCATCCTTTACTAATGTGAGAAAAATTGCATATAAATCATATTGCATATAAAATATTACCAAGTAATTCTAAATTTGAGTAAAACCAGTAGTTCATAAACACTCAAACATATCTTAAGATTATTATTCTTTTACTGTGACTATAAATGGATAATTCACTTTACCTCAAAAATGTCAATTGAGATTCCAGGATTTCACTCTTTGCCTCATATGTAAGTTTTAACCCCTCCTAAAGAACAAGAAAAGAAAAAAACATTTTTTTCATGTCTGCGTTTTATAAGTACATTTAAAATATTAATATTAAACTTAATATTTTCTTTCCTTTACAAACACAAATAACTGTTTACTCTTAGAAAACATTTTCTTCAGCTCACGCAATTTTTAAAAATTTTTGGTGGATAAATGCCTCCAAAGAACTACTGAGTCATAAAATGGCTATTATTGACACTTTTTCTGTCTTTCAAAATTGCACATATCAGATCTTACCCTTCTAAGTGTGACTCAGAGAAAAATATATTGTTAAATTAGTAGATCCATGAGGACAAGTTTAAATCTTTTGGAAAATCACTATTCTGACTCAAGCATATTTGACATAGAATAAATGTGTGCTGGATAGAGGATAAAAAGTAATGATATAAATCACATGAAGAATCAATAAATGGGATGGATTCAAACTAAAAAGTTCCTTCTGAGCAAAAGAAACAATCTGTGAGGTAAATGGAGAGCCTACATCTTGGGAGCAAATTTTTACCTCTCACATATCAGATAGAGCACTAATCTCTAGGGTATTTAAAGAGCTCAAAAAGCTAAGCACCAAAAACCAAATAACCCAATCAATAAACGGGCCAAAGACCTGAACAGACACTTCTCAGAAGAGGATATACAATCAATCAACAAATACATGAAAAAATGTTTATCATTTCTAGCAATGAGAGAAATGCAAATCAAAACTACTCTAAGATTTCATCTCACTCCAGTCAAAATGGCAGCTATTATGAAGACAAACAACAATAAGTGTTGGCGAGGATGTGGGGGAAAAAGGCACACTCATACATTGTGGTGGGACTGCAAATTGGTGCAGCCAATATGGAAATCAGTATGGAGATTCCTTGGAAAACTGGGAATGGAGCCCCATTTGACCAAGCTATCCTCTCCTCGGTCTATACTCAAAGGACTTAAAAACTGCATATTACAGGGACACAGCCACATCAATATTTACAGCAGCACAATTCAAAATAGCAAAACTGTGGAACCAATCTAGATGCCCTTCAGTAGATGAATGGATTAAAAAATGTGGCATATATACACACAATGGAATATTACACAACAATAAAAGAGAATAAAACCATGGCATTTGCAGGTAAATGGATGGTGCTGGAGAAGATAATGCTAAGTGAAGTTAGCCAATCCCCAAAAAACAAATGCTGAATGTTTCTCTGATATAAGGGGGCTGACTCATAGTGGAGTAGGGAGGGGGAGCATGGGAGGAATAGATGAACTCTAGATAGGGCAGAGGGATGAAAAGGGAAGAGATGGGGTAGAGGGTTGGCAAGGATGGTGGAATGTGATGGACATTATTATCCAAAGTATATGTATGAAGACACGAATTGGTATGAACATATTTTATATACAACCATAAACATATTTTATATACAATTTGTATATTTTATATACAAATTGTGCTGTATATGTGTAATAAGAATTGTAATGCATTCTGCTGTCATTTACTTTTTTAAAAATCAATTAAAAATTTTTAAAAAGTAAATAAATCACATGATAGGCCAAAATGGTACATCATCTAACAAACTTCATTCAGTTGGTATCCAAATGTTCTTTTATCTAACAAGTATTTATTGGATGTCTAGGATGAAGGTGCCTCAAAACTCAAGGAACTTATTCTCTAGGAAGTAATAGAAAGATCATCAATTTCAATTATACATAATTATTTTAGTGAGGTATGCAGAAGGTAAAATGGAAAAGAGGTAAGACCTCCTAACTGAGCCAAAAATAAAGAAGTTTACACAGAGGAAGTGCTAAGACTAGAAATATAATTTCCAGTAAAGCAAAAGCCTAAAGGCTAAAGAAATCACACTCCAACTTTAGATGGTATACAGATCATTTATCACCAGAATGTAAAATACCAGGTGGAGGAGTGGGTAAAGATGAACTAAATAGGTAAACTTAGACCATGAAAAGAAAAAAGTATTAAGACCTTTCTTTACACAACTTTTATAATCAAGCCACTGGATAGTCATTGAAAACTTTTTATTACATTGAATCTTAAGTCAGAAGTATGGAGAAAGAGAAGGCAGTAAAGAAGTCATTGCAAATATGCAGGTAGGTGATAAGCATGTGAAAAAAAAACAATTAAGTTGTAAAGATCAAAAAGAAAAAAATTAGCCAGGTGCAGCAAAAGTGAGGTGCTAAGATACTTGGTGAGACCCTGTCTCTAAATAAAATACAAAATAAGGCTGGGGATGTGGCTCAGTGGTTGAGTACCACTGAGTTCAATCTCTGGTCCCTTCCCCCACCACAAAAAAGAAAGATTTATGTCTACAATGACTCCATCTCCAATGTGACCTCCTCCATCTTGGGACACTGCTGCCACTGCCATCGCCACTTTAAGATGTAGCAGCTTCCATCTTGTGACACAGGCCAGGGCTTGGATGTCCATTATCAAGGAGACTACAGATTTGATGACACCTGAGGTCTTCCCTATTAGGTGTGCTAGTAGTCACCATCTTGCTGCAGAGGAGGGAGAGAGCTGGGCTCTCTCTAGATCTGCAAGTGCTGAAGCACATGGAGACAGATGGGGAAGAATGGAAGAGGGTGTGATGACATCTTGCTCTTGGTTCACCCAGCCATCTGGTCTGGCACCCGCTGGGTTCCTGGGGCCCACTTGGGTTGTCACTCACTGGGCCCTGGCACCAGCGTGGTTGCCAACTCCATCCCCAATCTATCATCAATAGATTCCCCTGGTCCTGCTAGGTCTGGCATTGGTCTGGCACCCAACAGGGCAAACTAGCTCCTAAACCCTCCCTAGCTACCAATCCTAGCCAGAGCTCACAGCAACATGGCCATCCATAGCTCCCAGTGCCTGGTTCTGATTTGCTTAATACAGAACAGCTCTTCATGACAGGCACACAGGTTCCAACAATCAGCTCTCAGGACCATCGGGAGAAAAGTGCCTGATGTCTTAATAGGAGCTATTTGGTTTAAGGCCATGTATTGTTTGTATTGGGTCCTGTTAATATTGATCTCCCCCTTAAACACAAGGTACTGAAAAATTCAGAGACACGATAAATCTACAGGGTAGAAACAGTGGTGCTTCGGATCGACACTGATAGATGGAAAGATACACCAAAAACATGAAAAACAAACAAAAAAACAAAAAAACCCAAGAGAACAAACTGCCCCAAACACCAAGATGCTCCAATGACAGAGTCCATTGACAATATAGTAGAAGAAATGTCAGATAAGGAGTTCAGAATGTACATAAACTGATTCATGTCATAAAGAATGATGTAAAAAATGAAATCAGAGATAAATTTCAGGAGGTGGAAGATCACTTCAATAAAGAGAGATTATGAAAAGAAATTAAGCAGAAATCCTTGAAATGATGGAATCCATAAACCAAATTAAAAATTCAATGGAAAGTACCATCAAAAGACTAGAGCACTTGGAAGACAGATTCTCAAGCAAAGAACACAATATACAATCTTGAAAATAAAGTTGATCACACAGAGAAAATGGTAAGAAACCATGAACAGAACTTTCCAGAATTATGAGATAACATGAAAAGACCAAATTTAAGATTTATTGGGATAGAGGAAGGTGTGAATATCCAAATCAAAGAAATGCACAATCTTTCTAATGAAATTATATCAGAAAATTTCTCAAACCTGAAGAATGAAATTAAAAATCAAATACAAGAGGCTGACAGGACCTCAAACATACAAAATTACAACAGACATACAACCAGGCACATTATAATGAAAATGCCTGCCATACTGCATAAGGATAGAATTTGAAAGGCTGTAAAGAAAAGGATCAGATTACGTAGAGGAGGAAACCAATTAGAATCTCAGCTGATTTCTCAACCCAAACCCTCAAAGCTAGGAGATCCTGGAACAATATACGCCAAGCTCTGAAAGAAAACAGATGCCAAAAATTTCATATCCAGTAAAATTAAGCTTCAGATTTAAAGAAATAAAAACATTCCATGCTGAACAATAGTTAAAACAATTCACAATTTCTAAGCCTGCACTACAGAACATTCTCAGCAAAATATTCCATGAGGAAAAAATTAAAAACAACAAAAAAGTGAAACCCAGCAAATGGAGGACCTACATTAAAAGAAGAACCAATCAAAGGAGAAACTAAGACAAATAAAAAATCAGAAATAAATAAAAATGAATGTGAATACAAATCATATCTCAATAATAACTGTGAATATTACTCATCAATCAAAAGACATAAACTGGCAGATTGGATTAAAAAATAAGACCCAACAATATGCTGTTAACAAGAGACTCACCTCACTTGCAAAGACATCCACAGACTGAAGGTGAAAGGATGTGAAAAAATGTATGACTTGTGTGGACTGTGTAATCAAGCAGGGGTTTCCATCCTCATGTCAGATAAAGTGGACTTCAAGCAAAAGGTAGTCAGAAGGTACAAAGAAGGATATTTCATATTACTTAAGGGAATCATAAGTCAAAAAGACTTAAGAATCATAAACACATATGCTCAATGGAACATTGACATACTTCAATGGAGCACTGACATACATCAAATACAACCTTCTCAATTTCAAGAATCAAATAGGCCACAACACAATACTGGGTGACTTGAACACACCTCTCTCATTACTGGATAGATCTTCCAAACAAAAACTAAACAAAGAAACTACAGAATTAAACAATACAATCAATAATTTGGACTCAATTATATTTCTTCCATCAATGAGCAAATACACTTTCTTCTCAGCAGCAATTGGATCCTTCTCAAAATCAGACCATATCTTATACCACAAAGGACCTCTTAGCAAAAAACAAAACAAAACGAAACAAAAACAACCCAGAGATACCAACCCTGCATTCTATCAGGTCATAATGGAAAGAAATTAGAAACCAACAATAAAATAAAAAATAGAAGCTACCCCAACACCTGGAGACTACATAATACATTATTGAATGATGAATGGATAACAGAAGAAATCAAGGATGA